GAAGCTTCGAAGATGCTTGTAACATTTGGGGGTCTGCGACGATGCGGAAATGATCCAAGAGTTTATGCCCTATCTCAACTTTGAAGTAGTTGATCAAGAGCTCTAGTAATCTTGCAAGCCCCTCCAAGCCAGAGACCGACAGACGCTTTGGATCTGCAAGATTCATCAAGATAGGGCGCAGGCCTGTCTGCAAGAGCTCTTTGGGGAGTCGACTTTGATGTGTGAGGACCATACGAAGCCCTTCGTGCGCAACTTCTTTTACCTCCTGCGAAGGGGAATACAAAGACTTGAAATAGACGCCAGTGACCCTGTATCATACGATGTCAATGACGTTGAAGAAAATGGGAACCATGACTGACCTTTGTCTAGTTTGATGCTGCTTTGAAAAGAAATCCGTCATAGGCATGGATGCAGTAAGGAGCTTGATGCAAGCTACCCTAAGCTTGATAATCTCGAGAGATCCTTGGCGAAGATTTCCACGAGCAAGCTGGACGTCATCGGCATCGGCGAGTCCGAGAGTTTCATGTAACAATCGGAGCAATTCGTCGTTCAGCTCCGGAAGAGGTGGATCGAGACTGACACAATAGCGTACTGCATCAATCATGCCCACTTGAATGGGAAACGATAACGCCCTCAAAGGTTTGGTGTAAATTGCTGTCAACATGCGATCCCGATGGGGCAAGAGGAGCTCGTGAGCTGACTTGCCAGTGAGTTCAACGAAGACGTCGATGCAGATTTGGGCTGCTTGGCGAACCACTGGGTTGGGATTTGAGAGCTCCGAGAAGAAGATACCGATGATGTGGACTAGCTTGGCACGAGCGATGATGGGGACGTCCGCCATAGCATCCAAATTCGTGTAGGTAACGCGTAATACACGTTTAAGGACCTCGATCACGTCGGTGACATCACGGGGAAGATCAAAGGGGAGATCCTTCAGGATATGGAGCAAGGTTCGCACAAGTTCAACTTCACTCATCCATTTAATACCGATATTAGGCAGAAACGTCAAAATCCTGATTCCAATGCAACCTGCGCTCTTCCGTACCCATGAATCGTCAAGGCAGACGGCACAGAAGCGCGCAGAGATTTGGACCAGCGTGGGAACAACGTCCTGTGCAGTAGCACCGTTCTGGGCGCACATGACCACCAGGTCATTCAAGATTGACGTGACAAGTTCTTCGCCCTTGTGTAATTCTTCAGTGTTATCACGTGAAAGAGCGCAAGGCAAGGCCTCCAAGTAAGACGAAAGCAGAGGACTGGGATATCGCTTGAGGCCAGCTTCCTTAGTAGCGTTCTTGCGAAGTTCCATTGAGAATACAGTTCGAGACAGCTCACGAATGAACTTGTCTGCATCTTCTTTCACTTCGGGCATGTGTATCGCGTCAAATATCGCTTCCAATGATTTGACGAACACCGCAGATTCATCCGGCCCATGACTGTTCTATGGTACATCATGGAAAGTTAGTGAAGTACGACACTATCCAAGCTTGCTTACATCATGCAGAAGAGTGATAGTACACGTCTCCAATAGCGAGTATGTTTGGGCACGATAGGCAGGTGCGGCCTTGCGTAGGGTTCGGACTGCTAAGTTAATCATCGGAGCCAGCTTAACGTTTTCCATCGAGCCACCGAAAGAAAGAGGAACGCTTGCGGCCTTCGAGAATGGGTTGTATTCAAGGGCAGGCTCTTTATACAACAAACGGCGATTGCGTCCACCGAGCTTGCCAAGAATACGAATGGTCGTGTGGGCATGATGGTGACTGGCGGGTAGTGGCTTTAAGTGACTATGAAGCGCTTCCATGAGTTCTCGAAGAACGGTGTTCAAAGTCGGATCAAGGAAATCCGGTGTCAGGTTGTCGATACAAAGCTCAAGGGTACGAAGACCTTGAGATACGAGCTCAGGAGTCCCACGTAACGCAAGTGCAAGAGGGCGCATAAGATATGTGAGATGGGGTAGGAGATGTGTGAGACGCAATGGCACCGTAAGACAAAGCTCGACGATCATGTCCCTCGCATATCCTTCGGAGGCATGCAACTGGCGGTTTAAGCTCTCCAACATATCGGGAAGGAGTGGTAGAACCTCTTTGTAGAGAAGCTCGTAGCGACCCCCTCCGCCGCCAATTGCGCGAAACAAGCCTCTTAGAAGATGGTAGTAGTTGGTTGACTTGGAGGCTTTGGCAGCGAGAGGGAAACAATCCATGATGAGTTTAGCTAAGTGCGCAGCCAGAATGGGTTCATTGGGCACAGGAAAAGACGTGACTGCACCAAATGCCATTTTGAAAAGCCGAATGGTAATAACCGCTGTTTGATCGTCGTATTCCCCAAGAAGTGACAGGCGGTCAATGAGGAAACGAAGGACGATCGCTACCAGAGTGGGCGAGACGTTTTCACGACTGAACAAAATTTGGCAAATTTGTAAGAGTGCCGGTCTCTTGCGAGCTGCCTCAAAAAAGAACTCAATCTTGTGGGTCCAAACCTCTTGGAACACGTGCAGATTGACCTCCAGCAGAACTGCGCTAAACCAGTCCATGGCTTCGGTAGCGTCGCGTGGCTCGGTATCAAATAGGGCCATACATTTCATGCAACTTTCAAAGAGACGGAGAATTAGTGTGCCTTCGGGAACTGGGGCATCACATTTTTTCAATCCCACGAGGCAAACACGGAACCCATGGAGGAGGGTTCGGAAGAGAAACCGACATTCTATAACCAAGGGTGTCAAAGGGTAATTCGCGCACATCGAAAGTCTTCTCACCATGAATAACCTCTTCTGGCTTCTCAGTTGCATAGGCAGCACCTGCAACAGGTCGCGTCTTCTCTATCAGCAGAAAGTCGACGCCTTCCTCTTCGCCATTCTTAGCCTTCTCTAACCTCTCAAGTGCGTTGTCCAAGACCAGTGTCATCGCCTCGACTTTGTCGACACAAGTCTCGAACATGGCAGTCAGTACCCGTGCGGCACCTTGAGCGGTATCCTTGGTTGTAATATTCTCGATCAGACCGAACATCATCTTGGAGAACAGCGTATGCAAGTTATGACTGAGGTACGGATTATGAATCAACGCAGAGTACAGCTTCGCCACACGCGCGAGCTGATTCGCCGAGAGGTCGCCCCGGACGTGATGCACAAGGTCCGCGACCGAGGCGTAAACCGACGGACTTGAATCATGATCATCAACTATAATTCCTCATTGGCCGATCAACTGAACTCACCGCAAGGTCTCTTTACTGCCAACTCCATCTCCAAGAAGAATACGTTCATCAAATAGTTTGTCGATCTGTGGTAAAAGAGCCTTCCGATGCTGCGTGCCAATCAGATGCCGTAGTACCACTATCAGATCCTAGAAGATGTATTAGGTCTAGTTGCGTTTTTGATACATGCGACTCACCTTTCGTGCCTGAATGCCGTTGGGAGGCAAATCTTGCATTAATCGGAGAGCAGCAAGAATTAGCCTCTCTCCAAAGGAGTCGAACTGTTCTCCAAAGCCTCGCATGACATATGCAACATAAGATACCATCTACGCAATGAGTATTCTTGAGTGTCGAGATTGTTACAGGGATGCATACTTTGATTTGCCCAGTGATGAAATCCATATAGGCTTGATGATTCTTTATGGTGGGTGCCATGCCGGACCAGTAAGATCCCATGGCTTCATAATCTTCTCTAGCTTTTTTCTGAGCAGGTGATTCGAGACCCAGAACCTCGAAGTTCAGACAGAGTGTTGCTTGAATAACGTGAAGGACAAGGGGGCGATGGCTTTGAGAAAAGGTGACAACTACCATTCCCATCTCGGCGAGGACTTTGAAACTGCGAATGCTGGGAAGGACGACATTGGGATCAAGAACAGGGGAGTCCTCGCAGAGTGTTTCAAGGACAAGTCCCCTCATGTTGCGAAATACGTCTTGAAGAATTCCCATGTACTCGGCAACCAGCTCTTCTGTCAGCGATCGAAATGAGCGTAGAAGGTCGATAATAATTTTGCATGCAGTGACACCGTTTTCCTCATTATCATGGCGCAAGGCATGAAGCATACCACTGAGCAATGGCAGAGCCAGAGGCCGTATAGTTTCCCCGTAGGGTATGCGATGTATGATTTCAAGCAGCACGCGCCTGAATTGGTACTCCATGATGTCTTTATGATATGCAGCTTCCCCAGTGTTCAGAATTTCCAAGAGAACTGGAATCATTTGAGGGAATACTCGCGCAGATTCAGCATCTCGGACAGTGTCTATCATTTCTCGTAGCTCGCATGCAACATTGTGCTTCGTTTTGAGATCTATGACCAGTGTGTTCAACAGCAGAGAGCTATATTTGATCGGAGAACACATACCTATTCCAGGGTCCGCAATTCGAGCAGCCCGCATCTCAAGGTCTGCAGCTGTACCCAGCTGCGGTGTGTTGTCCATGGCGAACAGCAGGAAGAGGCCCTAAGTTACTTCCAGCTATTTGGTAATCTCAGGTTTGACCCAAAAAATATGTTTGGCTCAATGTTTGGTCAAAATTCACGTGATTTTCACGTGATGTAGCTTTACTTACTTTAGCAACCCCTTATTCGGGGGTGGCTTAATACTTTAATATATTTGGTCTCAGCCAAGTCTCAGGTTATCGTCAGTTGATAACCTTCTGCAGCGCATTCTGCAATGATTGGCGATTGGAAACCGCTCATATTAACAAATTGCCAATACTATTCCCTCAAATGATCAACATGCTTCAAACGTAATTCAATCTTGATTGCGGCACTGAAATAAACCCATCGCTCAGCGCTCAGACCCAAGCTGGCTTAGTAGACTCATCATTACCCCAAGTAAGTACTACTGCCACCCGCCAACTTGACGACAACACTGGCCACTAGACCACAACTACTAGTAGTACTTGCTACTAAACGCGGTCCTTTTAGTTTGTGGTCGTCAAGGCTCGTTCTGTCATATTGAGGCCAGGTAGCTCCGATATGCCAATGTTATGGACAGGTACTAGTGCCACCGTGGACAGTGACCACCATCATAGTGATGGCTATTGATATATCTCAATTAGGCTGTGCATGTTAAGTTAAATATAAACTGAAATCATCCAAACCATTTTCAGACTGACACAAACTTATCCGTTACTCCCTAACGTTCCCTCGCTGTGCAGTGTATGGTTGTACTAGAGGCTGGTCCTCAAAACGTTCTTCTCGTCTTCCGAGCTGGTCTCGTCCATCTTTTTTTCGCAAGCGCTACCACTGTCCAGGATGCCGGCCTACGACGCATTTCGAAATGCTCTTGTGATACGTGACGCAAAAACACTATCCGTCAGCGAATTTTTGGAACACCCCGACTAGTGAGTCGATTGTGTTTCTAGTGTATTGACTAATTCCGCGCCTCAGTCGTCAGATCGCATCTTTCTTTTTAGGTTGGGTTTTTATTTGTAGCCTACTATGCATCGTGACCTCGCCAGTAACGTGTCACCTATATCGAATGTGCTACAAGGCCTTTGATGAGCGAAGGTGTCTGCAGCTAGATGCAGACTTTCGCATCGGACATGACACTCTTTGGAGCAATTCGGAGAAGCCTCCCATGGACACACTTTTCTGGGATGATCGAAATTCTAGCATTGAAGAAAACTCTGCTCTTGTCTTATTACTTTCTTTCTGTTTCGCTTTTGCGAGCGTGGCCCACTTTTCGTCCTTGCTGTCATTCAATTCTAATAGTGGAGCTTCTGCTTGTGGTGAGTCACAAAGCCGTCATTATAGCAACGCATATCTCATTTTGCAGCATTTATTATTGCACTGGGAGGCATTTCTACCGCTTGTGCTCGTTTCATGGGCTTGATTATCCTAAATATTGATCTACGAAAATTCGAGCTATGGCGGTGGGAAATATATTTGGCTTGGTTTTGGCTTTTCGTTGCTGGAGGTGAGTAGTGCATCCCAGTCTAACATGCGGGCTTGACCAACACGTGTAAGGTTTCGTGGTTGCAACATGTGCTATAAGCGCAGGAACAGTCACGTATGTAGTCTTGTTCTTGTTTCGAATTGAACTCATCATAGCTGCAGATATGTACTACAGCTCGACACGTACTTGTGCTACAGGACAAGGTCGGTGATAGGTGCTGCTCATGACATCTCTATCTAACGTTACGATGTAGCTACCTTCCTACAGCCTTGACCATGTCTGCAATGTTCATGATCCTGGAGCTCTACATGATCGGCAGACTATTGTCCTTTATTGCTCCGCCATTCCTCGAGTTCAGGCATAGGATTGGAGCAGTGACAGATACGAGGGTACTTCGCGTCCTATCGCTCTTGCTCTTTGACATCTTGAACTTGGTACCTGGTGTGAAGGTGATAGGTATCGTTGGTGAATTCGTTCCATTCAGTATAGGGGCTCTCATTGTGCTAGGCATGTATTTCCGAGATGAGTTGTGACTTGTTGAAATTCTGACCCTGAATAACTCTAGCGATGTTCCAAAAACATCAAAGGAGACCAATCCTTGGCGAACCGATGCCAGTACCCATGAGCCTTCGTGGTTCGACAACCTGCACTGTTCACGTTTCCATACCTTCCAGAAACAGTGCACAAAGTTATGTTCCTGGCCACCCGTTCGCTGCCTCAACGGACTTCGCAACTACTCAGACCTACCGTACTTCTATTGCGTCGTCGATATTGTCCGATCTTCACAGTTACAACACTGCCGCTAGTAGTTTCCAGACTGGTACTGGTACTAGTACTGGTGTGGTCAGGGTTGCCTCGAGATTAAAGTATACCCAATCTCGCCCCCGTTTACTCAATCCGGCTGAGACCCACATTTCACCGGTTTCAAGTCATGGTTACGACGGAGCTGTGGAAGAGTACACCAGGACCCGTTTCAGACCACCCTCTCATGCTGCTAGTGTTGGTCACATGCCTGATCAGAATGATTACACGAATAGCTTAGAGGGCCGTCAAGATCTGCCTACCCGTAGAGGTCTCCCGATCAGGCCTCGCATCAAGATCGCCACTTTGCAACCGAGGCAGCCCTTTTCAGCACTGATATCACCACCAATATGTGCCGAGTCTGTGCTCCACGGGTCCGATATCATCGGAGTGTCTGACTTTCGTGGCAAAACGAATATTGCCAAGAGACGTCCCCGTCGCAGCACGCTGCCATCTGACCTCAGTTTCTTGTTGCCTTTGGAGAGTGCACCGGCTCCAGTTGTCCACTTCCATTGTAACAGTATAAGTACTTCTCCGCCCTCTGATGAAAAGCCTTGGGGCTCAGGGGATCAACGTGATCGGTGGTTGACGTTTGGGCAGAGCAGTTTCTCGCCTACCAGGCGAAGGACTTTTGTTGACCAATCTCCTCGATCATTCATTACCAGAATATCCCATACCGAACAATCAGTCACCAATGTCCCACGTTCTTCAAAGCTGCTCACCCCGAGCCCCTTTGGAGAGCAGTCTTTCGACATTCTTAGTCTTGCTGCGTCCCAGCGATCTATTCGTAGACTTCCATCGCTGAAGGTGCAAGAGGAAGCGGAAGAAGATAACAGCCCTGTTGACCCTTTCATCTCAACATTTGCAGCGTATTGTCGTGCCACTCCAGCTGGCGGAATGCGCATTCGTGGACCACGTCCCCCTCCGAAGGTATTCTCTCAAACACCACACCGATAACAAGTTCCTTTGGTTTCGCTGAAGTAAGCGTTCAAACTCTCTTCAGGATCAGCAAAGTTTACCATTGTATCGTAGGGTCTCGGTACTAGCTAGTGGTAGGTAGATTACTGACTTCAACATGTACCTTTTATGAATCACTTTCGAGCTTACTTATTCTCTTTGTGACTTTGGTGGAGTTTGATATTGTTGCCCCAACATCCTAACGTGTCGCCAATAGTATACTGTAATATTCGATCTGTCACTTCTTGGTGCCTATAGTCTCTCTAACATTTTCGTTTCCAGATTCGCTTGCATCCTTTTGCCAAAATCAGTGTACCCTGAGAAAAGTTCTTGTCTTTGCGAGTCGCTGAGATGCGAGTAGATGCATAAGGTCACAATAATCATTGCTACTACTACTTCGATACATGAAAGACTAAGACCCGACTATAGAGACGATTCCGAGCTATTTGGGCGAAGGCGTGCAGCGCCTTCCGGTCCCGATCTGCTGACCCTGTGAAGGAAAGGTGAGCTGCGAGGGTGGGCGGGCAAAACCCTCGCAGGACGCCTATGACAGGTGGTTTGGTGCAGTCCGGACCACTGAAGAAGGTGTGTGCGAGAAGTGGCGTTGATCGCTTGCGAGAGGTGCCATGCGGTATAAGGGAGCGGAAGGGTGGGGAAAAGAAAAGGATGAGATACGAAGTCATTGAGGACGACTAGGCTGAAAACACGAGGACGTCGCAGTACGAAAGAAAGAGTTCGGGCCATCAGAGAACCTGTGAGAAGAAGATATCGTCATATATCGTTATATATCGTAATATATAGGAAAGGTTTTCGTCACATTGTAATATAAAGTGATATAAAGCAATATATGACCATGTAAAAGCACCATAATCAGCATAATCCCCAGCAAGAACTCACCGGTTTACTGATGTCGTACTGCATCCGTCGCTTGCGCAAAGACTACATTCTATTCCTCCGCTCGTTCCTCGTTACGTAATAGAATAATCAATCTTTGCGAGTCGCTGAGATGCGAGTAGATGCATAAGGTCACAATAATCATTGCTACTACTACTTCGATACATGAAAGACTAAGACCCGACTATAGAGACGATTCCGAGCTATTTGGGCGAAGGCGCGCAGTGCCTTCCGGTCCCGATCTGCTGACCCTGTGAAGGAAAGGTGAGCTGCGACTCCCAAGTTGATAGGAGTCTGGCGACGCATCGAGCGAAGCGCGGATTCCCATGATAGTAGGAGGTGGACGAGGACTCATGCGTTGTTCAACGTACGCGCGGCATTGAAAGGCGCAAGTATTCATTCTGGATGGCTGGGTTGTCTTGTAAGTAAGGCGCGAGAATCTGGGCGTGATTGCGAAGATAGAGCTGAAACGCATCACTAGCCCAACGCCCCATCGTTTTGACGACGTCAAATGGGACGTTTCGAAGGAGGTATTCAAGTGTGGCTCCGATCCTAATGGCGTGGCCTTGCAAAGGGTTCAAACCAGCGTCTTTTGCTGCCTGAGTGAGACGCGATATGAATTTTGCCTTTGTTAGAGGCCGGTGCATGTTCTTGCATCTGTAGGAGAAAAGGGCGCCCTGATGCGGAGGATCGTTAACGCGAAAGTGATTCTCCAGAGCTGCCTCTGGGTCTGTGATACCTTGCTGCTTGGCCCAGAATACGTCTTCGCCGTTGTGCGACGTTTTTGTGCGAGGGAGGTGAAAGACGGTGGTGTCCAGACCATTGCGGTCTTTCTCGTGACGGATGTCACTGCGTTTCACGTGGGCTGCAGAGTCGAATGAAGTTAGGTTGGGAATAGTGAACTCTCCGGCTCTAGCGATGGAGTAAAAGGCCGTAGTCAAGCAGCTGGCTACAGCTGCGTCGATGGGATCGTCCGGATTCAGTTTCTGCAAAAGATTGGTTATGAAGACTATCGTGTAAGGTTGCCGTTTCCTTCGTTTCGACGATGCAGGAGTGAGATTTTTAGCTGCCTTTAGCAGCGCATCAATCTGGTCTTCTTCGAGTGACCACTTTATTCCATGCAGAATATGCCATGCCCGCACTCCATGGACGTAGCCGGTGATCGTTTTGCCTGAATAACAGCCGGCTAAGTCAGAGATGAACGCGGAGACTAACTCAGATGATGCGGGGGCTCTCAGATCCTCTGTGATTGACTTGGAGTCGCAGTAGATGTGGTATGCGAGGATGCCGCTGCCATACGTCTCTTGCGTGCTGCGCGCCCAGGCGTGTATCATAACATTCTGTATCTGCTGGGCATCCGCGTGAGGGAGGGACGTCGTCGCTAATCGAGGGTTCGAAGGAAGCCAAAGACGGAGCCGATCTTTGGCTGGGCAGTGCGGACGTAGGATGGAGGTGTTAAGGGCAGGATCAGTAGCATAGGCTGTGAAGGGAGTTGCCCCTTCAGGTGCTGTGATGCATGATGAATGAAAAACGTGCTTACTAAGTTTGCGCCGCTTTGAGGAGTTCTTTGCCTTGGCGCCTGAACTTGTCATTGAGCCTTGTTGATCGGTGATGCATGGGACTGCGCAAAGCTGGAGGTGAGTACGTTTTGACCTCTGCATCACTAGAGCTGCGTTCAGAAGGGAGTAAGGGGTCATCGAAGTTGGCGATGAAGAGTTCGAGCGCTGTAGGGATTTGGATGGGAGGGAGGAGGAGGCTAAGGGACGGGAAGACGCCTCTAGAAGGGCCGTCGGCAGGATTGTGCTTGCTGGGGACGTAGCGGGTGAGTATGGAACACTGTGCCGTTGCGACGCGCTCATGGATCCGTTTGAAGACGTCGTTGGTGGCTTTGTTCCGGCTCCGGCCTTTCCACCAGCCTTCGACGACGCCGCGATTGTCGCCGAATACTTTGATGCAGCTACCTTCTGCGCATTGAGTAAGGATTGCGCTGACGAGAAACTCCATCCCGACAGCCTCTGCCCAACCAATGTCCCTGCCGTTGGCCTTCCAGCCGGGGAGGAGACGCCATGCCCGCCAGTGGCCATTGATCCATATCGCGACGCCAGTGCCTGAGCTAGCGTCCGAGTAAGCTGAGGGGTCGATGACCTCAATTGGACCTGGGATGTCGCGGGATATGATTGGTTGAGTGAAGTTGGCTTTCCACCAGCGAAGGTCGTCGCTGGTGGTCTTTGGGGGGGTACGTGGCATGTGCGGACGATCACGGAAGGTAGGTAGCATGGCTTCCAGCGATACGAGGTACGCTCGTCCTGCTGGGAGTACCAAGGAAGCGTGCAACAACATCAGTAAATTCTCACATTTCTTGAACTGCCTTTTTTGTAACTTGCCGCCGGTTAACTTCCAAAAAAGGTGCGGATAAGCCACGCGCAAGAACTGTGACACCCACTTGCCACAAGCAATTTTAAGTTGAAAAAGCAGATGCCTCCTCTTGACTGGACCTTTTTCCACTCTTATTTTGGCCTTTTTTCGATAATTTTGCCTTTGTAAGTAGTGCAAGTGCTAGCAAAAGTAGCAGCAAGTAATAACACTTATCTCACTTATTTTCTACTTGTTTGCGACTTAATCACACTTTTTGAGAGAAAAATGACGGCAAAACATAGCATTTCAAGCGACAAGTAGATTAAGTATAGAAAAAGTTGGACAAAAGACACTAAAAAGGAGTTTCAGAAGCAGCAATTAGCGAAGCAGTAGCATACTATGAAGCAGTGAAGCAGTGAAGGAGATGCATGCAGTGGGCAACAAGAAAGACAACAACTAGAACCCTATGAGTGCACGCTCATCCTCCGAGTCTTCATCTGGAGCGGAGGGTGCACCGCGCCTCTTAAAGGCAATCTCCTTCGCCTGTTCCCAGATATCCTGGATGACTGAGTCTTGCAGGCGGTTGATGGATGTCATGTAGCGCCTGGTCATTACACCGAAATTAGTGTCCGAGAACGCCTTTCGAGAGCCGCTGATCTTGCCCGAGGACTTGTTGAGAGAGTGAGGGACCTTGACGGCCTTGCCTTTACTGTTCGCCTCCAATTCGCTGACAAGCGTCTCGGAAGCGATAAGGCGGATGGCACGTTCCACCTAAAACACAGGAAATAATTAGCCGTGCTGTGAAGAGAGGGCAGGAAGATACATGCCGCTGCAGTGCAAAGGCTGAGTGCACCTTTTGCATGCGCTGTTGTGTGATGGTCACCAATAGCACCCAAAGTAGCGCATGCGTGCTGTGTGAGTACCTGAATGATAAGCTCAGACTCGAAAGGGTTCTCCAATTTCCCTTCCTCCGGGATGTTCCCATACAGGAATGCTAACTTGACAAGTAAGCTCTCGGAAAATGCTTTGCGATCTTCATCAGTCTTGACATCATCTTGCAACGACAGGAAGTTTGTGTATACCGTGACAGCCGTGGTGCCAATGCAATTGCGCCACTCTGATAGCCGTTGCAGAGCCTAGGAAAAAATAAAGGTCAGACATGAATAGTGTCAAAGATAACTCACTATAGCTATAACGGGTCCATCATTCGTGACGATATGGGGGATATCTTCATAGACAGCATCCCAGGTGTCCTGTATAGTAGCGTGGAACGTTGCTTCCGACTCGATACGACCCCAGACTTCTTCCTGGTCTCCGATAGCAGAAATGAGAGTGGGAATGAAGGTTGTGCTCCACCTAGCCACTGCCCGAGGTCCTCCAGGAAGATGCTTGATCCTATATGAAGAACGGGGGAGGATCTCCACTGTCACCTCTAACGGATTCGCGGGACCAGCCTGAGGTTTCACAGTACTTGGAATGCTGGACATGCTGCGAGAAGACTTCAGCCGCTTTGCTGCAGGGGGGGCATTGCGTTTGACGCCGACACCGGTCTATAAATTTTGTAGTCAGTAGAATTCAAATAATTGAACCCAAAGCACACTACCGTAGAAGTCAACCGCAAGGACACTGGTTTGTACTCAGTCTTGACCACAGTCTTGACCACAGGCTCGACGTGAGCCACAAACTCGATTTCGGAGGAGGGTGAGTCTTTGTCGACCAGGCCATCCTCGATCATGAGGTCGTCTTCGATCATGAGGTCGTCTTCGATCATGATGTCGTCCTTGATCACATCCGTTAACATGAGGTCGTCCTCGATCGCAAAGTCATCTGTGATCATGAGGTTGTCCTCGATTAGAGTGTCCTCAATCAAGTCATCGTCAGTAATGTCATCCTCAGCATCTACGAGTTTGCGCTTGACGCTGGTAGGGCGGGATAAGTAGGATGGAGCGAGACGTGGAGGCCGGTCGGCATCATAGTATCCTTTTGGAACCTGTGCAGAAGGAGGGGGTTCAAGATCAGATTCCCTCTCGGTATTGGAATCATAGTCAACGAGGGAAGTTACTGGAGGAGCAGTCTCCGCATTCACTTCAAGATCATCGCCCACGAGATTGAAGGCACCATCATCCGCGGTGACATCAGGCTCAATCGGGTCGAGCTGCTTGGGTGCCAGATTGGCATTGCGATGGGGTAACTTCGTTTGAAGTCGAGAATTCTCTGAGACCTTTTGAGAAATTTTGACACCCTGGAAATGCAGTTAGCACATAGAAATAAACTAGATGGTTGGACTCACCTGAGAAGCCTTTGATTTTGACATACGAGCGAGTGCTTGAGAGCGCTCGACTGAGTCGGTTAATTCGTCGTCTGCAAACAGAGTTGTAAAAAGATCCGACACGTCGTTGGCCCCAGCATCGGGAGTATCGATAGGCGTGAGTAAGGCACCACCACTACTCAAAGTGCTCCCCCTGGTGAGCTTAGAGGAGGGAGTGGCACTAGAGATAGTAGTAGAAGGCGCTCCAGAAGCTCTCCCACGGTGCTTCAAGTTGGACTCGGAGGATGGCTTTCCAATGTGAATGTGCGTCCTCCAATTCGGGATACGACCGATATGACTGAATTTTTTAGAACCAGGTGGAGAGCTAGCATCGTCATCATAGACCATAAGATTGAAGAAAAAAAGTGATGTTTCAGTCAGATGGAGCTTCATGGTTAAAACGATTAAATGCCTTACACATCCGAGTCAGACGACTTATCATCATCACGTGCCTGTGTTGATTCGTTGGCGATAAGGGCACCCGCCACATCAATCGCATCTCTCACAGGTGTTTTCACTGGGATCACCATCCTCTTTCCCTTCTTCTTGCGTGCTCCTGGCATCTGCACCTCCAACTCCTCGTCTTCTTCACTCCCAGGATGCTCAATATTGGCACTGGCTGCTGATTTATCAGCCCTGCCACCATTGCCTATAGCGCCAACAGCCTTACCGGCAGCCGTAGTCAAGTCGGTGGTCTCTGGAGCTTTCACAGCCTTTTTCACAGGACGAGGACGAGGACGACTAGGCTTAGGTGCATCAGCACGCGCAGCAGCTTGGTCTGTCTCCATCTTTTTATGAAATGCCGCAACGCGCTTATTAGTTTCCACTACAGCTGCTTTACTTGCCTTCTTCTCCTCTTCTTCACGTTGGTCGTCGGCGGCCTTTTGAGCTTTGGTACGTCTTTTTGTACGGTTTTCGCCCCCAGTCAGAATATGTCCTGGATGCTGAGTTGCATTCTTAGGTCGAGTCGCCATGCGTTTTGGAGCTGCGCTGGTGGGCATGGTGTCAATGGAGCGTTTGGGAGGGTAAAGAAATTTGAGGGCGATGGTAGCTCACAACAAGGTATGTTTCGTCACCATTCTTCAAAAATTGTAGTCTAAGCTGACTCTGAATAAATATCTACATTGACCCTTACCAAGCTGACGTACCCACTAGATTACCGCGATCCTTTCGCGCCTGCCGCTCCCAAATGTTTGTCTACCAGTATTTTTCACCAGCCCCAGTAGTCTGAATATTAATTTTTACCCATAGTTTTGCTGCAAGGCGTCAATGTTCATCAAGCGCTTCTCGGCAAGCAGTTTGAACATCAACATTTACTAAAACCTGTCCGGCAAGGAGGCAGTTCAGTAACACTTTCGGCATATTTCGGGTGCTGTGAACCCAGAGTTCACTGTATTGGACACCTTCAAGTTTCTGGTGTTGCTCGAACGTCAATGAGCCTATGTAATTTGGGCGCTTTCAAGAACCCCCGAATCTAGCCTTCATTTGTGCATTTAGCCTGGTTTGGTCACATTGGTGCCGGTCCGAATTTCTCGTTCACCTTCAGATATACTTTTCGACTGCCAACATCAACTTGGCCTACAACACATATATGCCTCCCCGCCGTGCTCACCACCTACTTCAGCTTCCATGCCCGGCTCCAGGCTGCGCACGCTGGTTTCGAAACCAATCAGGTCTCACTCAACACAGGCGTTCACTCCACCCAAATATACCTGCTCCAGGACCTCCTCAACCATCCCGGTCACCATCCCACCCTCGAGATTTCTCACCACCACCTCCGGATTTCTCACCGCCTCCTCGGGATTTCTCACAACCTCCCCAGCCATCACCTCCTATGCCCTCTGAACCAACTCATGAGGATTCGGACAACGCTGACGCAGAATTTACCAATTCAAGTGAGCGTTGTTATCGTACATACCATTCGATGTTAAACGGTACGTTCATTTACATCTGTACTCTTGTTGTTTTTGTTTTTGACTTAGATCTATGCTTAGGACGACCATGCACGGCTGATGGAGAATTTCTGCCACATGGCGCCCCTCCAACTCCCATGCCACAAAAGGCTCCTGACGACTGGAGCCCATATCGCAATAGAATAGAATTTGAGGCGGCTGAGTTCACGTTCAAAAAATGCCATATGTCTGCCAAAAACCTGGATTTCTTATGTGATTTAATGGCCGCAACTCTCGTGAAACACCGCGATGTCCCTCCATTCGCCGATCATAAAGATCTCCACAATGTCATAGATGCGACACAGCTTGGTGATGTCCCCTGGCAATCTTTCTCGGTTCAGTACACAGGAGAACGCCCTGAGGTTGTCCCGCCATGGATGGATGATGAATTCGATGTCTGGTATAGGGACCCTCGCGCGATGGCGCACAACATACTAGCCAACCCCACCTTCAAAGATGAAATCGACTATACGCCATTTCGTGAATACGATGCATCGGACAAGACGCGCCGTTGGAAAGACTTCATGTCTGGAGACTGGGCATGGAAACAATCAGTATGTTTTCCATCTATTACTGCTCGGGACAGAGCTAACGCTTCATCAAGGACATCATATCAAAAGATCCAGAGACGCATGGATCTGCGTTAGTCCCAATCATTCTCGGTAGTGATAAGACTACCGTTTCTGTGGGCACTGGTAACAACGAGTACTATCCCCTCTATGCCTCGATCGGCAATGTACGCAACAGTGTACGGCGTGCTCACCGCGATGCTCTTGTCATAATCGGTTTCCTCGCCATACCCAAAAGTACGTGTGTTGATATTTTAGATTTTATTGCGCCTCATCTGACTTACTGCACTACAGCTGACAAGAAGCATTCAAAAGATGATGCGTTTTGGATATTTCGTCGCCAGCTATTCCACAGCTCGCTATCTGCCATTCTCTCTAGCTTGAAATCCGCAATGACCGAATACGAAGTTGTGCGCTGTGGAGATGGATATTTTTGGTGTATTATATACAGTCTAGGACCCTACATCGCGGATTACGAGGAACAACTAGTGCTATCCTGTATTGTTAAGCATTGGTGCCCGAAGTGAGTATTGGAAGTTGTAATCATTATCCATCTGTACTAACAATACACATAGATGTATTGCAGTTCGAACGAACCTCGACAATGGTGGCATGGATCGCTGTCGTGAGCACACTGAGTTCCTTATTGGTGAGCTACATGGGGATGTATTATGGGATGAATTCGGTATCATTGGTGATCTCGTCGTGAGTGGAGCCGGCCGCTCTGCAATTCGAAACTAATATGTATTGTGTAGCCCTTTACGAACGACTTCCCCCGAGCAGATATCCACGAGTTACTGTCATTCGACCTCCTCCATCAGCTCATCAAAGGTGCTTTCAAAGACCATCTCGTCGACTGGGTAGCAAAGTACCTCAAGGCTGTGCACGGGACCAGGCGGGCGGAGGAGATTATGAGCGACATAGATCGCAGGTATGCCCTTCATTCATTATATTGATATTCTCTTCTAATTTAAGTCAGAGTCGCTGCTGCACCATCATTTTCTGGTCTACGACGATTTCCTCAAGGCCGCGACTTCAAACAGTGGACGGGTGATGATTCGAAAGCGCTCATGAAGGTCTTTCTTCCAGCTATTGAAGGCCATGTGCCTGGAGATATGGTTCGCGCATTTCGCGCATTGTTAGAATTTTGTTATCTTGCGCGGCGCGATGTTGTCACCGAAGATACCCTGAACCAGATGCAAGACGCACTTCACCGGTTCCATCGCTATCGCCAGATATTTGATCTCGTTGTTCCTACCTTCTCACTCCCTCGCCAGCACTCAATGATTCATTATACGGACATGATTCGACTTTTCGGTGCCCCGAACGGACTATGCTCGTCAATCACAGAATCAAAACATATCAAGGCTGTAAAGGAGCCTTGGCGTTGGTCAAGCAGGCATAATGCTCTTGGTCAGATGCTTGTAACCAATCAATGCCTTGACAAGCTTGCAGCATCCCGCGTGGACTTTGATGCACGAGGGATGCTCACTGGCACTATTTTATCAAGTGCTTTAGCCGCTCTCAGTAAGATTTCTTTCTCTGGTCGTCTTCTCGCATACTCAAACAGCAACATACAGCACCGGATGAAGATGAACAGGCTGTCCCTCCTATTGCACCACAGCCAGATGCCCATGCCATTGAACTGCAACCAGACATCGATATCGATGACGGTGAGGTAGTTGATGGTCCAACAGTACTTGGTTATGTAGTGCTTGCCAAAACTCCTCGTAAGTGATACCATGCAGCGTCAAATCTCGATGCTAACTATTGTATCATACAGAACGAAAACGGGCACGAACAGTAGTGGCGTTAGCACACGAAGTTGCTGTTCCAGATCTGCGACGCCTCATTCGACACTTTTTGTTCACTCAGCTCAACCAAGATGATCCCCGCGATCCTGCAGATGTCCCAACTGGTAGCTTGCCTCGGCATGAAGGCAAGCTCCAGGTCTTCAATTCTGCTGCCGCAACCTTCTTTGCTCCCAGCAATCTGAGTGGTACTGGTGGCATGCGACGGGAACATATCCGTGCATGTCCACTCTGGAGAAACGAGTACCCGCGCAATGACTGTGTGTTCATCGACACTGATTCGGACGCTCAAGGCATGCGAGGACTCGAAGTTGCGAGAATTGTATGCTTCTTTTCTTTCAAGCACAACTGGGAAGTATATCCATGCGCTCTCATTCATTGGTTTGAGAAGATTGATGATTGTGCTGACGAAGACACTGGCATGTGGATGGTCCGTCCCAGTTTCCACAAGGGTGGTTCCCGGAACCTTGCTGTTATTCATATCGAGACGGTGTTCCGTGCAGCACACCTGATACCTATGTACGGTTCGGAGTACATCCCTCACGACCTTAAGTTCTACCATTCCATTGATTGTTTCCGCTCATTTTATGTCAACAAGTTCGCTGATCATCATGCGTTCGAGATAGCCTCCTGACCGCCATGTATGGCATAGGTACGTCTTCAATTCAAATTTTGATCTGTTTTTAACGGTCAGATCCCATTAGAATATTTAATTCCTCGAGATCGTGCCTCTATCGACAATGATGGACTGGTCTGGCGAATTCGCAAAGTGGGCGCCGACGCTGAAAATGATCTCGTACAAGGGCAACCCTGCACAACGTCGAAACCTCCAAGGCGACCTGCAGATGGGCCAGTTCCAGGTTCTGCTCACTACGTACGAGTACATCATCAAGGACCGACCTATTCTCAGCAAACTCAAATGGGTGCATATGATCATTGGTAAGTGGGTTTGATTTTTTTTTTTGGTTATGTTGTTCATGCTTGCTATCAGAGGGACATCGCATGAAGAACACCCAGTCGAAACTTGCACAGATGCTGACGCAGTACTACCATTCCCGCTACTGCCTCATCCTCACCGGTACCCTTGCACAGACGCTGACGCAGTACTACCATTTCCGCTACCGCCTCATCCTCACCGGTACCCCCCTTCAGAACAACGTTCCCGAACTATTGGCCCTCCTCAACTTCGTCCTGCCCAAGATCTTCAACTCTGCGAAGTCACTCGATGAGGGGTTCAACACGTCATTCGCGAACTCGGGTGTGGAGAGCGATCACGGAGAAGAGTGTCGAAGAGGCTATGAGAAATGGCGAGGAGGACGGCAAAAAGGTTCATGTTCGTTCTACCTAGTGTACAATGCTACAACGCTGACGGCTTATATTTACAGGCCACGAGACACTGAGACGACACTATCATAACGAATGGTGAGTGCTCGTCGATTATCGGACATCTCAGTACTCACTGTAGTTTGGAATCACCCCACGCGCCTCACGCAACGCGTTTCATCTCGTCTCGATCCCTGCTCCACATCCACCTCTTCATCCTTTTCCAAAAGCCCAACGAGGCCCCCTCCGTGTTCGCCTCCTCCGCCTCCGCCTCTGCTTCAGCCCGAATGGCAGCATCCGCCCTGATCACTACATCGCCCCACTGGCGCCTGCTCCCCCGCCCGCAAACGAACGTTTTTGAGGCTGCCATGGACTGTAATCAACACCATCTCGTCAATCTATCATAGCTAAAATGAGTCTTAGTAGTACTTACTTCACTTCTGTTACTTGCAATTGACGAAGGCACTTTTGATGGCTTATCGCTGTATTATCACGCTTGTTTGTCACGTGCTACCTTTTGATCAATTATTGCACTTGTTTGTCGCGCGTCTCCTTTCGTTTGCACGCGCTCAAGTAAATAATGGTAAATAAGTTGTAATTAAGTTTTAATTTTGCAAATAAGGGCGGCCAAGAAAAGTGTGAATTTACTGATGAACTTGCCGTAGAGTTGCTGGACCTCTTGCAAGGTGTGCGTTCGTCGTGCCTCCCATTTGAGGATGGCGGCCAGATACTTCTCTTTCTTCTTGTCCGGAATTGATATGGTGCGTGCCGAAAGGTCCCAAAGGAAACCAATGAATGGTGCGCATGGTGAGAAGAGAATGTCTTTGCGAGCTCCCACGGGATGCCCAGTAGCTTGGATAGACGGTCGATGTCTTCGAAAGAGTAAGTGAATAAGGCGTCCTCGGGAGAACGAGGCGATGATGATGATAAGTCCAGTATCGGAAAGGATAAGTCTTCATCGAATTCCTCCACTCGTCCATCTGGCATGACGGATCCCTTGTACCACTTTCTACCCCCATCCACCAGTAGCCCTCCGTTTCTCGCGATGATGGACGCTCGAGCCTCGCGAAGGTTATTGTAGCTGTTAAGGTGCTCACGAAGAATACGTATAAATAAATGATCGTCGACCCACTTTGAAATTGGGCCGATACCCTGAGAACGAAAAATGTCCGCTCCTGCATCTGCCACCTCGCCATAAGTTCCGGCGGAGGCAGTGAAGCCGAAGCAAAAACTAGAATCAATGGCGAAGTCGTCAAGTCCGGTTCTGACGACCAGTCCCAGCCATTGGGATGGATGGAGTGGGATTGTTCGATAAGCTTCGGCGACGTCGCGAACTGCGGCCTGGGAACCTGGAGGAAGAGACCATACGAGAAGACAGATGGTGGCGGCAGTGCCCCATGTGCATGGATATAAATCAGAGTCGATAGATGAATTAATAGATGATATGGTTGGGGATGGGTGCAAAGGGAATGAAAGATTTTGGACCACGCGGAACCTGCCTGGCTTACCCGGTTTCGGCACCATGGATAACAGTGCCGACTGAAATGGTCCAATAAGAGTTTCAGTTTCTGACTTAGATAGCGGGCCGATGTATCGACCGGTGGAAAATTCACGATGGAGTATGGTGGCGAAAGCAGAGTGATGTTCAATGAGAGAAGGACTATTAGAAGGAGTGTAAGTGAAAGAAATAGAAGGGACGCTTCCCATGAAGCCAAGCCGTAAGCCATTGGGTATGTGCGCATATTTATGCAGGAGGTTTGCGGACTTGAGATGCCAGAGCCATACCTCTGGGTTATACGGCGTGAGTGCTCTGGATTCTCTCTCCCTGAGGGCAGTCTTGAGCGCCGTGATCCTTGGCTCCACACCCTGAACATTCGTGTACGTGAGATTGGGAGCTGCTGGAGCATCCTCTGGGCCTTTGCCAGTTGTAGCATAGTTCGCGCCCTTCGGGATTGGTGATGTGTCCTTCGGCGTTGCGACAGCAGCGAGCTTTGGTTCGTTTGTCCCAAAGGAACTCGGACATGCATTTGTGGATGTTGTGGCGGAATCGACCAAGGCATAGAGCACAGGCGGCTGGTCCGGACTGGCCTGTGCTCGACGGAAAAGACTACTGGTTGTTTGATGGCTTCCTGCTGGACTGACCTGCAGCGGGTGTGCGGTATGGGTGGTAGCGATTGTCCAAGGTAGGAGGAGAAGGTTCTTTCCCTCTGCTTGAGTTCACTTCACGACCATGGGATCGAGCATGGATGTTTGGTGCAGCAATGGAATTCTGCAGCTGGTGGATGATGAAGTCGGGTAGCGAAGTGCGTGAAAGAATGCGATAACGGTGGGAGCGAGCAGCATGATAAGCAAGTTTGTTGATGGCGAAGAAGCCAGAAGCAAGAAGGTTCCAAAAGGATAGCGTAATGGGCGGCAGCATGGAAGAAGGAAGCGAGCGTGGTGATGAACACGCGCAGATGGGAGCATGGAAGAAAAGAAGGCATGAATTTGTTAGTCATGAAGTGATGACTCTGCAGAAGTATATACCAATTTGATGCTCTCATCACGTTCCGCTTCCCAGACGTCATCCGAGAGGGTGTTGTACAGAGCGCTGTTGAAAATCCCGATGTTGAAGCCTTGGTTTTGAGCCAGACGGTCATGCCATTCCCGTCTGACGAACCCTGCGTAACGAAGTAAAGTCTTCTCGCCACGAGTTCGCATTCGGTGCTCGTGGTTGGTAATGAGAGTGAAGAAGAGCGCTAAGGCTTGCTGGTGCTTGTCTGGCCAGCCGCATTTGTCGATATGGATCAAGAAGCTCGTTTTTGCCATGTCGAATTGACGCCAAGAGAGGTCATGGTCTTGTAGCGCTTTCTGCGAAGCCTTGAATGATGCCATCGGCTTGAACACGACGTACCCATCAACCTTTGCCAGGCCAAAGGAGTCCTCCGCCGTGGACCTGCAACTGTCTAAAGCTTCCCAGCACCCTTCTGGACTGAAGTACCACAGCTCGACATATTCCATGCTTTTGATCTTCTGCAGTGCATACTGCGAAGGGCGAGGAATAAGAACGTCTGCCACGACAGCTTCGGCATCGAAGTCGTTGATCTTGGGCTTCTTCTTCTCTGCTTCTCGCTGTTCTTCAGCCGCTTCGGCTTCTTTCGCAATGCGTTCTTGATCTTCTTGCTCTTGCTGGACTCGAAGATCTTCTTCAGATTGCTGCTGCCATAGAACAATGCGTTCTTGGCGCTCCAGCCTCCAACTCTCTGCCATTTGCTCCAGGGCCGCCTCTCTGGTAGGTCCTCCTGCAACGATAGCATTGAGCCAAGCCGCGTAAGCTGGGAACTCGAAGTTCGGCTGCGCTTCGAGCGCTGGGTCAGCCAGTATGCGGTTCATGTGCGATTGGTGTGAATCGGAAGGTTGCTTGGATTAGTTTATCTGTAAAGTACGGCGACCTAAGAGAAAGTAGAAATCAATAGCTGATGATAAAGAAAAGAAAAGGATGAGATACGAAGTCGTTGAGGACGACTAGGCTGAAAACACGAGGACGTCGCAGTACGAAAGAAAGAGTTCGTACTGCATCCGTCGCTTGCGCAAAGACTACATTCTATTCCTCCGCTCGTTCCTCGTTACGTAATAGAATAATCAAGCTATGGCGGCGGGACTCCATTCACCGAATGAGTCGTGACATGTGAACTGTGACTCCGGAGTGACAACACACACTGACCACGATCTACGATGGCGTCTTCTGAGCTTTTGAAACAGATTCAGGCCGGCAAGAAGCTGAAGAAAGCCGAAACACATGACCGGAGTGGTGCTTTGATTGATGGAAAGGCAAGTGGTGGTGGTGGTGGTGGTGGTATTGCTGCTGCTACTGCTTCACGTGGAGTACCATCGATGGGAGGACCTCAACTTGGTGGATTGTTTGCTGGAGGTGTTCCTAAATTGAAGTCTAGTAGTCATAATTTGGGTGTGCCAGTTTCATCTATCTTTCAATGTTTGACTTAACCTCCTACGCTAGGAAAGTCACCGTCGCCTACTGCTAGACCATCAGCACCTCCTCCTGCTAGAGGTCCTCCGCCTGCACCTGCACCACCTGTGCTTCCTAATCGAAGTGTACCATCACTGCCAAATAGATCTGCTCCTTCAATGCCTCATCGATCTGCACCGTCATTGCCAAATCGATCTGCTCCTTCACTACCTTCAAGATCTGCTCCTTCTAGAAACACTCCCACTCCTCCTCCCCCACCGCGTCGACCACCACCACCTGCAAGGACAGCTTCCCCCGCTCCTCCTGCTTTCCCGGCCCGTTCACCACCACCACCACCAGCTCGTCCTGCCTCTTCACCAGCTCGTCCCACGTCTTCACCAGTTCGTCCTACGTCTTCGCCAGTTCGTCCTTCCTCTCCCCCTACTGGTCCAGCTCCACGTTCTTTTCCTCCAGTTCCACCTGCAAGGAAAGCTCCTCCTCCTCCCCCAGCCAGACCCTTGTCGACTATTGGTTCTCCTGCTCGAGCAGTCCCCCCTCCACCTTCTCGTAGGCCACCTGTATCAGACGGTCCACCTGCTCCTCCAGCTCGTGTCCGACATTTGTCAGAAGTTGATTCCCGTCCACAAACTCCACCTATAAATCGCCCTCCACCTTCCCGTCCACCTCCCCCTTCATCTGCTCCTCCAAGACCTCCTGTATCTGCTCCTCCTAGACCCCGTACCGTTTCAACACCAGTCACTGAGCCCTCCGCTTTACCTGTCGAACGGCCCTCCATCAATGGTAGTGCTAGGACACTTCCATCTCGCAAAAGTAAGTTGTATCTGTCCTCTACTGTTGCCCATAACTCATCCTCGTTCACCAGTACCTTCTCCCCCTCCAACCTCTGGCCCACATACGTTTCCCGTAACTGATTTCCCACAGCCACGTCCGTTTGTCTCAGCCACAAGGCGATATGCCAGTGGTCGAACCACTGGCAGTGATTTCGACCTGTCCACCTTATAGCCTGGCCCTTGCTGTACATAGTCTTATTCTGATCGCATGATATATCAGACTTGGTTGGTACAGTTGCTTGGACTCTAAATTATACAGTAGACTACGTGGCATTTGAATTTGGATTAAGTATTCCGCCAGATTTTCGGAAGTATGGTCTTGCCACATAGCAGTCTTATATTAACAACCCGGCAACACTACACCGCCCAGGTGACACGTATACAGTTACTTGCATTATAAAACCTGCTTCGTCACAATTTATTGGCAGCTAACTCTCACCAACGCATCGTTCAATGCGCTTCCCCTCTCTCGTCTCCGTGGCCTCTGCCATCGCCCTTGCTTCTTTGGCATCAGCTGACGTTGCCGAGTCCTCCGATGTGCTCGTCCTTACAAAGGACACCTTTACTTCTGCTGTCAACTCAGAACCTTTGATTTTAGTCGAGTTCTATGCTCCATGGTACCTTTCCATCGTCCTTTTACGTGAATTCTCGCCGACTTTTACCATAGGTGTGGCCACTGCAAAGCTCTAGCTCCCCACTACGAGGAGGCAGCCACCACACTCAAAGGGAAGGACATCAAGCTTGCCAAAGTCGACTGTGTCGACCAGGCAGACCTTTGCCAGTCCCATGGCGTCCAGGGTTACCCGTACGTCCATACCATTCGAAATATTCTCTCTAGCGCATTGACCATCCCTCCACAGCACCCTCAAAGTCTTCCGCAACGGTGAACCCACCGAATACTCCGGTCCCCGAAAGGCAGACGGTATCATCAGCTACATGCTCAAGTATACTCTACCCTTCTAATCACCTTTTCGTACCTATTAACATCACCCTCAGACAAAACCTCCCTGCCGTTTCTGACGTCACCGCCTCCAACCTCGCTGAATTCCAAAACGCCGATAAGCTCGTTGTCCTCGCCTACGTCTCCTCCACCACAAAGGCCCCCGCACCTGAATTTAGCGCAACAGCAGAAAAACTCCGCGACGAGTACCTCTTTGGTATCACCTCTGACGCTGCAGCTATCGCAGCCGCAGGTGTCACTCCTCCCGCTATCGTCGTCTACCGCAACTTTGATGAACGCATCACCGAGTACCCGCACCCGCCATCTGCAGTTACCACCGCCGAACTCGAAGCATGGATTCAGCAGCTGGCTATCCCTATCCTTGGTGAGGTGAACGGAGAAACGTATGCCATGTACGCCGGCAGCGGTAAACCCATCGGATACTTGTTTTTGGACCCCACAGACGAAAAGAAAGACGAGACGCTCGCTGTTCTCAAGCCTGTTGCTGCCAAGTACCGCGGCAAGATCCACTTTGTTTGGATAGATGCGACCAAGTTTGGCGACCATGCAAAGGCTTTGAACCTTGCTGAACCCAAATGGCCGAGTTTCGTTATTCAGAACCTGGAGGATCAGCTCAAGTACCCTTATGACCAGAGCAAGCCTATAGAGGCTGAGGCTGTGTCTGCTATGGTCGGCGAGTACCTCGCTGGGAAGCTTCTTCCTAAGCTCAAGAGCCAGCCGATTCCTGAGAGTCAGAATGAGAGCGTGTTCACGCTCGTGAATGCACAGTTCGATGAGGTTGTGTATGATGATTCCAAGGATGTGTTTGTTGAATTTTATGCTACATGGTGCGTTGCTTTGGCCATATTTCATAATGCATGCCATTCAAGACCTGTTTAGGTGCGGTCACTGCAAGCGCTTGAAGCCCATCTGGGATTCTCTCGGTGATCACTTTGCCGACGTGAAAGATCAGTTGGTCATGTACGTCCACCTTTCTTCCAACATTGTCAACAAAACTTATTCATCGTTGTAGTGCAAAGATGGAGTCCCAAGAAAACGATCTTCCAGCTTCAGCCCCATTCCGTATCAGCGGGTTCCCCACCCTCAAATTCAAGCCTGCAGGATCGCGGGAGTTCCTTGAATATAACGGGGACCGAGAATTGGAATCTCTCGTTGCTTACGTGCAGGAGCATGCCAAGAACAGCTTGAAGCCTTCTGTCAAGGCTCCTGAAAACGAGTCGCAGGCCACGTTTGAGGCACCGCGGGAGGCACACGATGAACTGTAATTTGTGCACAGTGGTCTTACCTCTATTGTTATCTTATCTCTTGCATGCATTCGATATTCATGAGGTGTAAGTGGAGCGACTCGTACGATTGCTCTAATATAAAGTGATGGAAGCCATTGATTCGAAAACAAGTACTACAGTTTGACTTCCTTGAGACCGTGCTTCCAGAAGGTGAAGTAGGCTGTTGAGGTGTGATGATGATGATGACGCTACTTGACAGAAAGCACGTACGGGTGACCCCATCCTCCTGAGATGAGAAATCGTTGAGAATACGACATTGTTTATTCTAACTTCGCAACTCACCCGGTAGTTCAACAGGGCTACCATTCCGTCAGCGTCCATGTTCTCGCCAGTGTACTAAAATTTTGTTTGTCAACGCGTATAAGGGGCAAAGCACAACGTACAAATTCATAGTCTTTGAAATTACCGACTATCTTCTTGACAAAGTCATTTGCCTTAGCCTTGAATTCAGTAACAACAGCAGGGTCTCCCTTCGCTGCTAATTTCTCCGCTACAGCCTTCATGTAACCCTAACATGAATATCCTCATCAATTTCGATCTCCACAGGTATAGCAATAATATGATATCATACCTTGAGATGAGAAAGATATGCTTTTTTGTCATAAGCTGTAGTTTGAAGACGGAAGGAATGGGCGATATTGTTAACTGTAATCGCTCCATCCTCGAGTGCCTCTTCCTGTTCTTCAGCTGAGGCGTTAGCACCTACAAAATCAAGTAGATGAGCCATGTTCTTTTTTCTTTCGATTGGATGCATACCGATATCAACATTGCCCTCCTTGAGTGTGATCATCTGACAATCTACTTCATAGGCGATGCCGTCCACCTCTTTCCTGGTTTTTTGAGTAGTCAGTATGTGACGATAGGCGAGCGCCAAGATTGGAGCATACATGGGGAACGCATCGGAAAACATCTCATCACCGGAGATGATATCTTCGTAAAGAAGCATTTTCGAACAGATATAATAAAGGTGCAAAGAAAAAGAACAGGGGGGGTTCCAACGAGGGAGATAGAAGTTGAGGTAAGAGAGATCCTTCGAGTCTTTTGATCTTTATGTACACCGACAAGATCAGTAGATCATCATCTCGTGGGATACAAAAATATTGTCATCCGAATCCCGACATCTGCTTCATGCTACCACATGGACTATCAGCCGGTAGTCGTACAGAGACATGCTCGGCCAGCTGCGGCTAAGCATAGTCCAGAATCAAGATATTGGCGTCAATTCAAACACCCGGTGTTCATCAAGGAATACGCACCAGTCACATCTATCCAGTTCTCTCCTTCTAAACCTCATAGGTATGCTGTAACAGCAGCAACGCGTGTTCAGATTTATGCACCCCGCACCCAGAAAGTGACAAAGACAATTTCGCGCTTCAAGGATGTTGCACGCAGTGGTAACATCCGTCCTGACGGAAAGCTCGTCGTTGCAGGTGATGATACAGGTCTCGTGCAGGTATGGACGCATACCCACGGTATATTCACATCCCTAATCAATCTGCTCGCAGGTCTTTGACATAAATTCACGCGCCATCCTTCGTACCCTGGACTCGCATAAGCAGCCAGTACACGTCACCAAATTTTCTGCCCTCGCACCCACGCAAGTACTCTCCTGTTCAGACGACACCACCGTAAAATTATGGGACGTCCCGTCACAAACTGAAGTAGTCACATTCCATGCACACACCGACTATGTTCGCTCTGGTGAAGTTTCGACCTCGAATCCCCACCTCATCCTCACTGGTTCTTATGACGCAACCATGAGATTATTCGACACGCGGACCAGCCAATGCGAAATGATAATGGGCGGCGGAGATACCTCGAGTGCAGTACCAGTCGAGCAAGTCAAAATGTTCCCATCTGGTACAATGGCCTTGTCTACTGCAGGTCCTATCCTGCGCCTCTGGGACTTGGTCGCTGGTGGCCGTTGTTTACGTGCATTTTCGAATCACCAGAAGACTATTACCTCGCTAGCGTTTGATGGGTCTGCGGGTCGTCTGTTGACGGGGAGTTTGGATCATATGGTGAAGGTTTACGATATCAGCTCGTACAAGGTCGTGCATACCATGCGATACCCCGCGCCTGTTCTTTGTCTTGCCATTTCCGTATGTAAAGTTCTAGTTTCTTGTCATGTTCCTTTGCTAACAGCAGTGCAGCCGGATGAAACGCATATCGCCGCGGGAATGTCAGATGGTACGCTCTCTGTTAGACGGAGACAGCCAAAAGCTTCAGAAGGCGCCGATCCGCCCTTCGCTTTAAAGACTGGAGCTTTTGAGACATTCTTAGGAGGTACCCTTCCTATAATTGGTCAAGGACGCACAAAGTCCAAAATCAAGCCCAAACCTACCGGAGATGCGGACGAGTTGAGAATCGAAAGCAGAAGAGCAAGGCGTCTGAAAGAGTACGACAGGCTTTTGAAAGGGTTTAAATATTCAGCAGCTTTGGATTCGGTGCTCAGAAAGGTGATGCTCGTTCACCATAGTTGGGAAATTCGATGTTGATTCGCCTTTTAGAACGTCCCACCGACAACGGCTTTCTCTCTGATACAAGAACTGATACATCGTGACGGCCTTCGGAGCGCATTGGCGGGTCGAGATGATGTTCTTTTGGAACCAGTCTTGCGTCTTCTCGTGAAGCATGTCACTGATCCCCGTTTTGGTGAAATGGTGTCCGACGTCTCAACTCTGGTCATCGGTATGTGATTGATCGTCTTGCATTTTCGCTGGCTTGACGTATCTATGCAGAGATGTACACACCGGTCCTTGGACAGTCACCTCTCATCGATTCACTCTTCATGCGACTTCGAAAGAAAGTCCTTGCCGAGATTCGGTTCCAAAAGGAACTGGTCAAAACAAAAGGCGCACTCGAAATGATTTTCGCGTCCGCTACACTGACTGCCGCATAGCAGGCCACACGACTTGTATTCTACGCATATATTGCTACATATTTTAATGCCCCGTGTCCGTTATAAACATTCATGCAGAAAGTCGACGAGATGTTGAAGGATCTCCTTTTGTGATAGTGCTCCACCTCCTGGAGCGTGATCAGTGGCTAGGCCATTGCTCTGTGTGTCAGCGTCGAGGTTGTCGCGGTATATTTGAAGGGTTGAGATGATATCTTTCAAGGACTGGTTCTTGCGCTCAAGCATTTGTGTGATATGGCCGCGAATCTGCAGTGTTACTCGACTTAGCTATCACAGATTATCGAAGAATGTTGCTTACTCCATCGTCCTCCATGACTACCCATGCGAGGATATAATCGACTGTCTGCAGTGTGAACAGTCCGCCCTCCAGTCGACGCAGATAAAACAGATCCTCGTCTTCTGACTCAATTTCACCACCGTTAGCAATGGTTTCCTGCGCATTCAGCATTCGGACTGGATGTTCATTAGTGAATATTACATGGCACATACCTTTTTCTCCGCCGCGATCTCCGCGTCCACAACTTTCAGACGATTACGAGCATTTTCCCGCACCTCGAGTAGTTTATCTGCTTTCTCATAATTATTTTCCACAAACTTGGCAAGCAGACGTATTCGATCTGGAGAGTCCGACGGAGTGTTTGAAAACAATGAGGAGATAATGCCAAGGATATGTGGGATATCTTCGGAAGCTGCTGCTGGTGCATTGGATTTAATTTTTTTTGAACCCTGCGGAGTAGGCTTAATCAGTTTGAACCGTACTGAGAACACTGCATCTATACCTTTCCCATGAAAGTAGCAAAGAGCGTCTTCAGTCCAAGGACCTCGATAAAGTTTGCGCAAGTGGCGGTGCCTGCTGGGCTAGACATTGCATAATCAAGAGTTTTGATTGCTCTCGACTTCGATTGCAATTTTTCTCTACCAACGGCACAAGTGAGCATTGTGTCGACATCTCCAGGACGCGCTCACCTCATCATAAGAAGCATGAGGTCGACACCTTCGCTCGCGAGGAAAAAAGACTTGACCTCAGGCTCGGCCAACGCAGAACAAAGAGCGTCGAACAAATTCTCCATGAATTCGGTCTCGTCTGCATCAACTGGATCACGTCTTCGGAATTGCTACATCATAGGAATTAATATTAAAGCTTATGATAGTTAATTGCAGCTTACAGAAAGAACGTTAAGAGCGATCTCGACGCCGTCTTTCTTGCCAAAATCTTGACGGTTCGCTGCATTGTTCTGTAAAAGAATGGAAAGCAACTCTGCGGAATAGCCACGGTTTTCGTCATGAGTCTTGGACTGGACGCGATTGAGCAACCAATTCATCAGCTTGGTCTTCGACACTAGTATAAGGGAAAGGTCAGGGTTAAAGCCAAGTATGTTTTCAAATATGCCTGGAACGTAGGTCAGTAACGAACGACGAGAGGTTAGGTGCACAAATACCGAGAATATGGAAAACACCCTGTCGGTCTGATTCTTCAGTCTCGTTTAAACGCGAAAGATTATCAACGAGCAACTCCAGGATTGAATTCTCTAGCTGCGTGAAGTGGAAAACATAGCACTTGAGATCCAGAACCATGCTGAAATATGGGAACGAACCAGGGCTTCAATGAGGGTCTTTAGCGCTACCTGCGCCTCCTCTTGCTCCTCCTCATCTTCCAGCTCGTTCCCAACATCTTCGTCGGTCAGCTCATGGATCACATCAACGACATCAATGACAATATCGGCGTTGTCATGGCTGAGGAGTCCAATGAGTAAACTGACAGAACCTGAACGCACGAGTTCTGGGTAGGCCAGGACAGGAGACTGTGCCAAAGATAGAAGAGATTTAAGCGCACTATCGAGGTCTGCTTCAGAGTCGATGAACCTGCAACAGCGTAAGTATAATCAGTCCTAGGACCATAAGACGTCCAATTTAAATTACTTTGACGGGTCATCCGGGTACTTCGAGCGTTGGTCTTGGTTTTTGTTAGGCAGCTCGTTCAAACTTCAGTAGCGTTCTTCTTATGCTTGTGATCGATATTCCCTCTGGCTTCACGTCATGTCAATATTTACGCATTTCGCGAGAAATTTGTATGCGCTCACGTCTTCCGTTGTTCCTTCTCCTTCAGCACTCTCAAAAATACTCAAAATTTGTTTCTGTTCCGAAGTCAGTCCTCCTCCGTAGAACCGCCCTTCTCCATCCTCTTCGACAAAGTAGTCCGCGTCACCCCCTGGAGCAAAGGAGGTGTCAATCATTTTGTCGTCCCCGTCTTCTACAGTTGCGCGTCGCGACTGTCGGCGAGGAGCCGAGCTGCTTTCAGGTATTTCAACGTCCATGGCCGAATCCACCGAGTCCTCATTCAAGGGAGTATCGAGACGCATCTTCTTTAGCATCTCCAGGGTAGGATTATCTGGCATCTTCCGCTTTGAGCTCGTAGGAAGCCTGGGCACCTGGAGCCCGTAAACATCACAACATACACGGAAGAGTGCAAGACAAGCCCTTACTTTGAAAAGCTTGTCGATGTCCATGATTCAGTATTTGGCTAATGGCTAGCTAGTGCGTAAAGACTACATCATGCATAAAATCACGTGCTCTAACATCTGTCGATTACTTGGTGATTGTTCTTCAGAAGCTCCAGAGAGAATTCTGGATTTTTACAACTGTCTTCGTTCTTTTAGGGGGAGACTATAAGTCTACGTATGCGACTACAAAATTTCTACAGCGATGGGCATTCGGCTTATCACAGCAGACGACAGCGTCCCCCGTACTTACCTTGCATACTTGCTCAACAAGCAATTTGAAGAAAGTGCGCATAGTAGGCCTGACTGTAAAATGCAGAAAACGAAGTTGATGCGTGAGGAATCAAGGGACGGTACCCACTATGATCGTGTGGCTTTAGTATGCACGGTGTCCATTATCATAATTTCATAGTTGAGATACATAACACGGTGAGCTGCGCTCCAGTATCAAAAAATAAAACATACTGGCAATGTCTTCGCAGACCAGCCACGTCGTCTAAACGTACAGCGGCGATCGATTAGTATGGTTTGCCTCTATTCTTCTTCAAGTCCTTTTCGAGCTGTCTAGCCTTTCGGTGCCCTATCTCTACAGGTCGAATAGCAGTATCATCCGCCTTCTTGAGCTTGACTGGACGGTTACCTACATATTTACCTGAAATATGGCTGAGCGAGATTTCGGTGATTGGACAAGGGTGTTTCTCACCATCCATCTCTTTCCAAGCTTTGAGGAAATCTTCTGGATCTGAAAAGGCGACGAAACCATACTTAGCCTAATAATGTTTTGTCAACAAAATTTGTAGAGCAAGAGTAAACGTCCACACCTTCTGGCTTAACCTGTCGCGTATGACACGAGCTTTCTGGAAAGATGTGTATTTATTAAAGGCATTCGCGAGGACATCATCGGAGACATCGTTGCTAAGATCTCCTACGAATAAACGGAACCAAGCTACGATAAAATTTGTCAGTGGCTGACTTTCGTATCAAGCGGTACACTTACATGGATTCCATTCTAGAAGAGTCTGATCTTCCCAGACCTTTCCACCACCCTTACGGAGCACAGTGGTGCGCTTTCCACCCTTTGCAAGTTTCCCACCAGCGCCTCCACGCTTGTCGATCATAGCCCCAGGAACATAGACACTCTGTTGCGCAAGTATGCCGACATCATATTCGTACGCATTCGCTGGAACAGGTGCGCTGTGGTTCGACGAAGATCCGGGCAAGGGATACATGGGACCTTGATAAGGCTGGTGGTAAGGATTAACATCATAAGCCTGTTGCTGCTGGCTGAATTGAGAATACTGCGAGTCCATAATGCGTTGATGTTGGTACAATGAGAAGCCGGGGTTATGGGTCACCTCACTTACCAAATTGATAACTAATTGAAATAATAACAACTAATTAAATAAACAAATCAACAAAAGTAAACAACCACAGAAACTCTGATTGAAAGGGTGTACTCGCTGTCCCCGCCGTCCTCAAGATCCCTCAAGGTATGTCTTTATGACTGTTCACCGTCCTGGGGCACCGTCTAGTCCTTAATGACTGGCTGTGACAGTCGGATTGTTCGAATATTGCCAGTTTTCGATGGATGGCCTATAGCTGCCCAGGATGCATATGTGCAATTAACTGACAATTCCTACTAGATGCCGTTCGTCAAAAAAGTGAAGTCCGATGCCTACTTCTCCCGCTTCCAAGTGAAGTACCGCCGTAGAAGAGAAGGAAAGACCGACTGTGAGCATCCTGTAGATTTCTTGTTCGCATGTGCTAAGGTCTACTTAGACTATGCCCGCAAGCGCCTCGTGACCCAGGCTAAAAACAAGTAGTAAGTTATTGCAGCTTGAAGAACGGCGACGTGTTTTAACAACTCGGAAGCAATGCACCAAAATACCGTCTAGTAGTGCGCTTCACGAACCGGGATATCATCGTCCAGATCGTGTATGCACGTCTACAGGGCGACTTCGTCTTGACCGCTGCACGGTCACAAGAGCTACCAAGATACGGAATCAATCACGGTCTCACTAACTGGACTGCTGGTATGATTCTTTCACGTAATTTACTATATGATATTTGATGAACACCTTAGCATACGCAACTGGTCTTCTGTGCGCTCGCCGTGCATTGACCAAGCTTGGTCTTGCCGATAAATACGAGGGTGTCGCGGAGCCCGACGGTTCCCTGACGTTGACCGAGGCATTGGATGAGGATGATGCCCCACGACCTTTCAAGTGCTACCTCGATGTTGGTCTTAAGCGCACTTCCACTGGCCACCGTGTTTTCGGCGCAATGAAGGGCGCAAGTGACGGTGGTATATTCATTCCCCACTCTGAGAAGCGTTTCCCTGGGTACGACCCAGAGAGCAAGTCTCTCGATAGCGAAGTGCTCAAGAAGTACATCTTTGCTGGCCACGTTGCTGAGTACATGGAGTCGCTCGAGGAGGAGGATGACGAGCGGTAAGCCATTCCATACGAACATCGCAAATGTAACATTTATGGTTTTTGCTCAGCTTCAAGAAGCAATTCTCTTCATATCTTGCAGATGATATTGGTTCAGAAGATATTGAGGAAATCTACACCAACGCGTATGCCGCCATTCGTGAGGACCCCACCTTCAAGCCTTCGGAGAAGACCAAGGACTGGAAGGCGGAGAGCTTGAAGTACAAGACGTATAAACTCACGCTGGAGGAGCGCAGAACTCGCATCCAGGAAAAGATCGAGGCCTTCAAGGCTTCAGGAGGCGAGGCTGCTGCTGCCGAGGACGACGACGACGAGTGAAAATTTTCATGCCTTTACTTACTTTTGCATTCACATTTTCATCCACTCAGCCAAGTAGGCCATATGCTTATGATATCATGCAACACGATTATTGGCCAAAACATTTTAAGATTCTAATATGGTCTTCTCGAGCAGCTCTTGAAGCCATGCTACGAGAGAAACTGAGGTCTCAGGAGTGTATGTTTCTAGTAATGATAACTGGTGACTCGCTCTGTTCAGACGGTATGCCGACGAGTGGATGGCAAAGTCCTTGTCGAATATGACGCGGAAGTTCCTGGAAATCCTCTTAGTCTGTGCTGGAAAGAGAAAGAACGATATTGGTATACTCACAATATATTTCCTTCCCACCTTCCGACCGCTTTGCCGCTGACGAAATCGACAAACCATGTTGCACCGACGCGTTCACAAACTTGTAAGCCCACTTCGCACAACCGGTTGAGAAGGCATCTCTCGACTTCATCTGAAAGAAGCTGCACTAGCTGAGGGATGGACGCAATCGGTAGCGTTGCTTGTGGCAAATGGGCTGTAAGAGATGATGGTGAAAGGAATGTTAAACGAAGAGTTTGCCTGTTGCGAGGAACATAAATATATGCTCAGGAATGTGCTCCAGATCGCAACTTGCCTGACGTCGATACGGAGAAGAGCCTCGCCCCCAATCCTTCTTGCCGTTTCATTGGCGACAAAATGCTCCACTAATTGGTGCCCGCTTTCACCTACAGCGTTGAATCGTAACGAGGACGGAACACCGGCCTTGAGCAAGGCAGAAACCATTTTATCTAGCTCTACTCTGATTCTGTCACAGAATACCTGATATTGAAGAAGGTCGATAATGGGTTGCAACAGAGGAGCCTTATTCGGAAAGACCGAGGGTGGATGTTGTGTATTGGCTGATGATAGGCGTTGATATTTCTGCGACGCATGCAGAGACAGGAGGAGTCCTTGCAGTGCAAAGTATATGAGATTACAAGTAGCGGACAAACGTTCATCGCTCTTATTGGATTCTTGAGCATTGACAGTATCACCATCAACCTACACAAGTTGAGCGCCACGTCTTGGTCTGCAATGATAACTCACGAGTTCAAACTTGAGTTCCATTCCCTGGGCAGCGTCAATGACGATTAGCCGCTCGGCCACTCGTGCTGACGCTGTCGGTAAAGTGCTAGCCTCTTTAATCAAGACAGAGAAAAGCTCTTCCTCGACCATCTCCCTTTGCGCGATTTTAAGAGAGTCTTCTAATGACGCATCTGATAGGCTTGTTATACTGTTGGAAGCAGTGCGAAGGAGGCCGTTGGAATCGGTTAGAATAAGAGAAACTTGGAGGCGGACTCGCTGACGGTGAGGAAACACAAGAACATGTGATGCGGTCTCATAGGTTGTCATGTGTCCTACCGCTCTTCGTCTGAAGTGAGCTGGAGCTGGACGCATGGTTAAATTCAAGATAGTAAACATGATCAAATGCTTACATTCCTCTAGTCCGAAAGAGACAAAGAAGTCCTTTGACGTTTTATCAGCACCCTTGCCTGTAGGTGCACCAAATGGGAGGGGTGCAGGCACCAATCCCCAATTGGCACGCCGGGTCTTGAGTGCATCAACCCAATACCTTTGACCTCGGAGGCGGCTTCTCTCCAGGTTGTTTGCGGCGGCCTTGAATATACTCGAAGCCTTTCTCAGAGCCTCGTCCTTTCCACCGATAGTCAGCTGAGCATTGAATGCGTCCACTGAAGGTATAGGCGAAGGCTTCGTGACAATACTTGCCGTCAATGTAGAAGAAGGTAAGGCAGGGACAGGAGATGGATCAGTTGGTGCGGAAGAAGCCAGTAGCAACGAAAGCAGCTCCCTGGCATGCGTCATCTCTCCTAGTGCGGTACTAGCTTGCGAATGAGACTTCCGACGTTGCCGCCTGGATGATCACATACAATAGCTGGGGCATGATTTCCATGCGCATTTTGAACAACTCCTCTGGGTTCATATGGGCTTTCGAGACGCCTTCCTCCTGCTGGTCCGATTCGACCTTATCGTCTTTGGTATCCAGGGCCTGAGGAATGGACAGATCCCCAGTAGCCCTCAGGGTATCTTGGCGCTCAAAAAAATCTACACCGCGCTCGATGAATATACGTCTCAGGTTTTCACCCAAGAGTTTGGTGGGATCTTGTTGACTGATACTTGGTTAGCGATAGAATATAACGACGATTTGGTGACATACGGCTCAAATACTTGCACTCCATCTGGAGCTATGTC